ATTGAAGATTTTTGGGGTGTGCTTTATGCTCAACTTTTGGTGATCAATTTGGAGTTTGAGAAGCTCGTGATCATTCGTTGATGCTCGGTTTGTATGGTCTCACATCCTAGAGCCCAAATTGAAGAATCATGGAAGAATTGAAGATTGAAGTTCGTTTCGACATGTGTCACCTTTGAGGCTCGGATCGCGTAGTTGCTCGATTTTAGAAGATTTGAAGTGGGTCATTCATTCCTAACTTTGAGGGGGAGAATGTTGGGGTGTAAAGTTATTCATGATTGACTTTGTAATTGTTTGACTTTTGTAAAACCCACTTGCATGTGGTGCATTAGCCTTTAGACCCATGTGTTAGTGAGAGTGAGAGAGAGAGACATGTAAACACCTCTATATAAGGTGGGTTTAGTCCATTTGTAGAGGTGTGCTTGAGAGATGTAAAAGTGAGTGTGTAAGTGTGTGTTATTTATGTAGTCTAGATCTAGATCCTTTTTGTGTAACACCATATACAATCAATACATCTCTTGAACACCCAAATCACCATGTTCATTGTGCAAACTTTAATTCCGCATGCCAAACCATGTTCTTATGTCACTACAAATACACTTCATTTTCACCGCCCTTTTTCATTTTTGTAAACATTATCTCATCGGACCTCCTTTCTCTTCTCCATTCCTCTATCTGGAATCAGGTATGATTCTATAAAAAAATAGATGGTTTGATTCTTCTAGAGAAGGATGTTTTGATTAAAAGGGCCATATGGGTTCTCGAGATTCTCAACGGTCGAGGAAGTTACCTAAGGGATTGATGGATCGAGTATCACTGCCATTATTATAGGTAAGTAACTTGTCTCATCTTCCACTTTAATTCAAATTTATACCACCCCATTACAATTAGGGGTGAGCAAAAACCGAACCGACTAAAGAAAAACTGACAAAACCGCAACCGAAAAACCAAAACCGATGCAAAAACCAATGGTGCGGATTTAATTTTTGCAAAAACCGAAGGTCAACGGGGCGGTGCGGTTTCTATCCTAAAAACCGGTCCACCAAAACCGAACCGCACCGCAAGTGTGTATAGTAATAAATCAATCAATGTATATTATATACATGCTATTTAAAATTTTTATAAACGATAATATATTTATTATATGTTTTTTTGTGTTTGTGTAAGACTATATGGGGTGCACAAGAAATGTTCTATTGTTAGCCAAACGTACTAATCGATTACATGTAATAAGCTTGTAACAAATTAAGTCAAAATCAACCAACCTTCAATTATTAATTAGTTTGTGAGAGTAGTCACAAGTTGTATTTTAAGCGACTTACAATTTTTGATTATGTAATTTTGTTTTGAGCTGAAAATGAATGGTTTAAAAAAACAACACAAAACAAGCTTACATACATATGGTTTTCAGTTCTTACAGTTTTAAAAAACCGCACCAAAAAACATAAAAAAACTGCACCAAATTCTTAACACGATTTAAAACCGAAGCCGCACCGATACAAACCGAAACCGCATTTAAAAACCGAAAAATCGAACCATTGCAAAACCGCACCCAACGGTTTTAAGAATGCAAAAGCCGCACCATGCGGTTTGCGGTTCGGTTTGGTCTGAAAACCGCACCAAACTGCACCATGCTCACCCCTAATTACAATATTAGTTGTCGTTCTAATTTTTCCTTCTAAGTGTTCGATGAAAGTACTAACAAAACTTTATTTTTGCTATGATGTTATTTCAGGAGCCTCAAGTGGGCCAAGGACTGAAACTTCAAAGGTTCTTGCACTTCGTGGAGTCTGCATAATTATGATTGCTAGGAATATATCAGTAGGAAGAGAGGTCAAATAAGCTAAATCCTAAAACAAATCCCTACTGCCAAACTCGATACCATGGAGCCCGATGTCAGTTCCATATCATTAGTAAACAATTTTGCATCAGATTTCAAATCCTCAAGTCTTCCGATCAATATCCGATCTGTAAAAATCAATAATCCCCATGGTAATGGTATCCAAATTGTTTATATGTAAGATTATTTAGTCTTTATTGCGTGTTTTCAGTCCAACAATAAAGCAGGAATCTTGGAAACCCCATATATGTTATCCAAAGACAACATAGAGTAAATAAAGACTATAATATCTCTTTGAGTTTCAGAATTGTTTGTTATTTAAAATTTTTATTCAATTATTGGACATGCAATGAGTATGCTATTCAGTCATTGGACATGTCATGGATAGTTTGCTATTTTTTTGTAGGTGGACATTCATTCCGCTTTAAAGCTATGTCCGAAAACTACTCGATGTGGAGTTTACTTTTATAATTACTTTGCTCGTGGATTTGATATATTATTTGATGGCCACGTATTTTGTTTATATATTCTTAGGGAGGAGGGAGTCGTTCCCTTCCAACCCACCGAACCCACTGCCACATCAATTTTTCTCTTTTATTTTTCTTCATCTTTCCGAACCCACAACACACGAAAATCCTATCTTTTTGAACCCACTCAACCCACCCAATTAAAAAAAATACAAAACAACTAAGGTATAAGTTTTAAAACAAATGGTACAAGAGAAAATAAGAAAGAGAAAGTAGAGAGAGATGATGAAGTGGGTTAGTGAAACCAATCAACCCACTCGTTGAAGCGGGAGTGGTACCGCCGATAACTCTATTGTTAATTAAGATTTTACATTTGATTGTTTTGTATTTTTTTTAATTGAGTGGGTTGAGTGAGTTCAAAAAGATAGGATTTTCGTATGTTGTGGGTTCGGAAAGATGAAGAAAAATAAAAGAGAAAAAATGATATGACAGTGGGTTCAGTAGGTTGGGAGGGAATGACTCCCTCCTCCCTTAAAGATACTATTTTTCAATAGGATTTCATGTTTTATAAATTGTCATTTTTATATATTGTTTTAAATATTCAGACTCATAAGATTAAAAAGTTTCTGCTACATACAAACTAACCATGACATGAGGACTTTAAATCATACATAAAATGCAATTTTGCTATCAACACTACAACCAATGATCTTTTGAACTAACTTTTTGTTTATTTGTAGGTGATGGTGCATTTCATAAGATATGAATTCCTCAAAAAGTAGGATTACACCTGACACAAAATGTGACCAAGTCGAGGTTAATATAATTATTTTATCACTACTCTGAGTTTACTAATTTTTTTTTTAACTAAAAAGACATGGCATGTGCTACGGAAATGAAGTATGGAGATTGTAACTAGGATTTGACTAATTTTTGTTTTATAAAATTTGTATTTGTTATATTATTGGGTTAAATGCAGAAAAATAACAATTACTTTCATTGCTTTGTTTATCATAGATACCCTACTTTTGGTTTTTCCTATTACAACATTGTACTTTGAAAAATCATACACAATTATAACAATTCTAACAATTCTTACTGCTATAATTGGGTAGTTTTTTCAAAGTCTAATGTCCTAATAAGAAAACTATGGGAAGTACAATGCCTTAATAAGAAAAAACTAAAAGTACGATGATTTAATAAAAAGAAATGTAAGTAATTGGGTAAACAAATTAATGAAAGTACAATGATTTAATAGAAAAAATGTAAGTAAATTGAAGTATGATGCATTTGGTGTGAGTCAATGGATTTGACTCTGTGTGTGCATTTGTAATTTCTTTTATTGTAGTTACATTGGAACTCCTATGCTTATAGCATTCTTTGTATTTATTTTTATTTTATTAACTCATCATATTGTGACTAAACTCAAGTCAAAAAGCAAGTTAATTGTTTTAGTTGTGTGGAAGACTCATCCAAAGCTCTCATTTTGCATATTCAGATTACGTTATTTGAAGGATAAATCTGGAAATTGCCATTTTTGGTGAATTGTATACAACTAAATCACTGTAATAGGATGTGGATCCATCATTTGAAAAAGAAAGCTCATCATTTGTAGCTATTAACCCATTATTTTTATTTTTTAGACAAGTTTATAGATTTTATTTTGATTTTAAGATTATAGTCTAGCATAATTTTTTTTTAAATATAATGTTTTTATAACAGATCTTGATTTATGTTGATCTTTCTATAGGTGCTAATTTTGATTTTATGCACAATTTATTATAACCTACGATCATCACAAATTTGCTATCAATATTACACAATTAACATAATCATGTACCTTAAAAGAACTAAATGACTATACGATCTTTGTAAGACATTACAAAATGAGTTTAGATTAAGATCAAAATTTAACGCATTAAACAAATATATTTTTATATTTATATTTTAACAATTATAGAAATATATTTACATAGAAGATTATACATTATAAAAATATAATTATTAATTATCAATATTGTTCATTACCATTTTTAATTATCTATATTGTTTTTCTTTCTCACCCGTGGTTTCCACGGGTTGTAACCTATTGTATATATATATATATATATATATATATATATATATATATATATATATATATATATATATATATATATATATTCGAAAATATTTTGACATGTCCTAAATTAGTGAAATTATCTTAAGTTTTTAAAATGTAATCTTAATTAATCCAAATATTAACACAGTTACCATAAATTTTTTGTCTCAAATTCATTTTCAACTAAGATTCAGTGACCATTATCCTATCGTCGCTATGTTTTCTTAACTTATGTATATTCATAAGTAGTTAATGACCACAATTATTTGACCACCAAATTTCTTAATGACCACTTAGTGAGCCGTTAGTGATGACAATGATAATATTATCATTAAATTTAAAGTAAATAATTACTCAAACCGCAAAACCGCATGTAAACCGCATAAACCGTCCGCACCAACCGCACCGCATAATGCGGTTTTGAACGTTCGCAGTGCGGTTTGTGGTTTCTAAATAACTCAAACCGCATATGCGGTGCGGTTTGCGGTTTTGGTTCTAAACCGCACCAAACCGCACCGCGCACACCCTAGCAGGGATATCGGTTGGCCTAAAGACCATTTTAGAAGTAAAAACTATTTTTGGACTTTTTAACAAAATGCAAAGTACAAAGAACCATTTTTGCATTTTTCCAACACATTATAATCTCCTGGACGCTGGACTCGACGGGAGTGACCAAAAGATGACAAGTTCTCCACCACCACTACAACATCCCCAGATCAACACCACTGCCATCGCCGACGGTAGTTCTACGACTACTTCTACTAGTACTACGACTCCATGGAGCTGCGAGACGAACTGGACTGTCACACGCGGTTCTCTCGACTCCGCCGTCACGTTCGAGTCTTTTGATTTCCCGATCGACTCGGAATCCACGGGTCCAAAACCGCCACTCCTTCTCGTACCACCTTCTACCTCTGATTTTGAACCTTGCGAGATCAAACGTGAGTTTTCGATTTGATTATTATCTGCTCCTTCTATTTGTAAGTCGATTGATCTGTTTTTTGGTATTCAGATGTGTGTTATTGGAACCTATGTATGTTTTTGTATATGAGGAATTACATATATATTTCCATTTCAGTTTTTAATCATCTTTGTTAAAACTAGATTACATGGCTGTAAGTACTTTATAGTTCTAGTGATAATGACTTATAAGCCAAATACTACATGTATGTATAGGCAGCCTCTGAAATTGTGTCCTTGGACATATGAAAATTATTCAGTACTGGAGTCAATTCATCATGTTTCAACATGAATCAGCTTGTGTTTTTAGCCTGAATTACCTGTAAAATAGAATTCTTGTGTGCACAAAATGGCTTAGAGTTCACCAGATGTAACTCCCTGCCATTGGACTCCTCTCCATAGCTCACCAGACAACTCTCTTTAGTTATACTTTATGCTTTTATAACATTCCTTTGAACCTTTGCAAACTTATAGGCTGTAATTTATTCATAACAAGTTTAATTAAACCCTAGTACAAAGATTCATGATGTGATGCCATGTACTGTATTTATGTTTTAACTACTATCTTGAGATCTATAATATTAAAATATGAATGTAATAATGTTCCTCACCTGAAGGTGTCCTAGATTGCCAAAAAAATGTCTTCAAATTGTGTTATTACCTGCGTCAATCTCAACATTTAGGGTATCTCTATTTCTTTGCTAATCTCCAAATTTCTTGTGATCTAATTACCTATAAGTGGATTATTTAAAGCATGTGGTTTAACAAGTTCAATGTGCATAGCTTACACATAAACTTATATGCACATCCTTCATTTGGCTAGGTTGCCATTTTCAATTTCATTTTTACTATAACTTTTACAAAGCAAAGGGAAGTTGCATCTTATTATAACTTGAAAGATATGATGCATATAGAATAGGGTTACATGAATTCTTAGTGTTTCTTTTATCTGGTTAACTTGTTTCCCATTTTAGGTTGTATCTTGTACAAAATGAGGGCTTAACATCACAATATAGATATGAAATAGAGTTCTAAACACAAATATACAAATCTTTGACTGATTTAAAAACCAAACATAAATGTTCAATCAAGCATGTGACAGATTTCAATTCGTTCACATTAGACTTTTGAGATTTTTTTTTTATATTCATTTTTTTTTTGTATGAATCATCCCTATTGTTAAGGCATTGTACTTTGAAAAACATACATGAAAAATGAAAATAGCATGGTACTTTTAATTTTTTCTCATTAGGACATTATACTTTCATAAATTTATCCATTTATAGCAGCAGCAATTGCTTTCTATTTTGGTGGCATTGCTATAAATAGATAAAGTTTTCAAAGTACAACACTTTAATAAAAAAGAAATGAATCAATGAAAGTACATTGCTATTTCTTACATTTTACAAGATACCCTTCAACTTTCTTGCAGTGAATTTCACTCAAAAGCACGAGATTCGTCAGGTGTATGTCAGAAGTACAGCTCGTGTTTATGAAATATATTATGCACCTGATCTTCATAGTGAAAATGAGTATCTCTGCACTGTTCGTTGTAATGCTGCTTCTGTAACTGATGTCAAAAATGCAATTTCTGCAAACTTGGAGGGTCTAAATGAAATATTACCAAAGGGAAGGGTGTCAGGTGAAAATAATATTGGCACCAATGAAGATGATTGGGTGGAGATTAAACTCCCTGTTGCTCGAGTTGATGAAGGAAATACATATTTGGCAAATCAGACTTCAAATGCCATCAGAAATTATCAGGTACTACAATTTGAAGTGATCTCAATCAAGAAATAGCAATGTACTTTTGTTTATTTATATATTTTAGCATCCTACTTTCATATCTTTTATAAAAAGCAAATATCACTGCTATAAAAAAGGAGAAAGTTGGAACTTAGAAGTACATTATTGTAATAGAAATAAGGGTTAATCTCATAAAAGACCTTATTATATTTTGTGTTTTTTGCGGATTAAACCTCAAATTTATTTTTTGCCTTAAAAAAGACCTTGTATTGTTTCATTTTTTTTGATTTGACCCTTTTAGTCATTATTTTCCAAAAAAAATTGTAAAATGTGAGGTTTTTTTCGAGAAAAACTAAAAATGTTGAGGGTTTATTTGGAAGTAGTTAGAAGGTTGAGGGTTTTTTTTTGGAAAAGAAGAGTAAATTACACGAATGGTCCCTATGGTTTAGGGTAATTTATGCGTTTGGTCCCTAACTTATTTTTCTAACTTGGAAGATCCCTACTGTTTGTTTTTGTTACGCGTTTTTGTTACGCGTTTGGTCCCTGTCTTACCTAAAAAATCTATTTTGCCATTGATTTTTTAATTTATTTAAAGAAACACACCCCCAACCCCACCTCACCCCACCCCCCTCACCTTACCTTACCTTACCTATCCCGCAACTTTTTCTTATTTAAATAATAGTCTTTTTAGGTAAGACAGGGACCAAGTGCGTCACAAAAACAAACAGTAGGGACCAAATGCGTAACAAAAACAAATAATAGGGACCTTCCGAGCTAAAAAAATAAGTTAGGGACCAAGCTCGCAAATTACCCAAAAAACCATAGGGACCATTCGTGTAATTTACTCGAAAAAAAAAGACAAAGTTGAGGGTTTTTTTGGCAAAAATGAAAAAGTACAAGGGTTTTTCTTAGGCAAAAAATAAAGTTGAGGTTTAATCCGGAAAAAACAAAAAATATAAGGTCTTTTATGAGATTAACCCCAGAAATAACAAAAGTAGGATGCCATAATACACAAACAAATGAAAGTACATTGCCATTTTTGCATTTAACCTTTTTTTATAATAAAGCATGTGATGATTGTAATTTGAAATAAATTACCTAGTTATAGCATTGGACTCTCAATTTGTTCCTATTAAGGCATTGAATTTTTTTTAAAAAATTACCAAATTATATACCATTGTACTTTCACTTTTTTTTCTTATTCAGACATTATACAACAAAAATTGCTTTGTATTTAGATGATATTGCTATAAACTGGGTACATTTTTCAAAGCACAATGCTGTAGGTAATTAGAAGAAAATGAACGTAGGATGTTATGACTTATTGACTTATGATAAAGTCATAAACAAATAAATAGAAGTTGCTATTTCTTGTATTTAACCTATTTAATATTGGTTTTATTTATTTGTATGTTACAGAATTACTATGAAGCTACAGCAGAAATGAACGATTCAGAGCCTTGTAAATCACTGACACTTCGTTTACTATCGCTTCAAAGTAAAGGTTTTGTACATGTTGATGAAGTCTACGTGTTTGCTGACTGTATCGATTCAGACGATTCCCAGAACCAGAATCTTCTTAATAATCCAGAACCACCTTCATCTGGAACTTCACTTATGACTCTGCTTGTTCCCACACTTTTAGGATTATCAAAATCTAGATCCATCCAGTCAACCACTCAACATTCCACTTCCAAATCTGTTGAAAAACCAATCAACACCGAGTCACGACCAACTACTGAGTTGACTCGCTGCCAACTGCCACCTTCTACTGCTGAGTTGACTCGGTGCCATAACCGAACCGAAAGTTCAGGGGGTTTTCCGGTGGCGGATTCCGATGGAATTGTAATTCGAAATTCCGAGTCGGGAGGAACTGATGAGTTGACTCGGTGCCAACTGCCACCTTCTACTGCTGAGTTGACTCACTGCCATAACCAAAGTTCACGGGGTTTTTCGGTGGCGGATTCCGATGGAATTGGAATTCAAGATTCTGAGACGGGAGGAACTGATGAGTTGACTCGGTGCCAAGTTCCTGCTTCGAATTCAGATAAAGACAAGGTATGTATTTTCAGATGACTGCGGATTCCGATGGAAGTCAGTTACATTGGAATCTTTTGAATTCCATGTTTGATGGATTCATTTTTTATTGAAAGCCGAAAATACCCTCATTTTATATAATGGTTAAATGCAAGAAAAACACAGTACTTTCACTGATTTGTTTAGGGTTAATCTCATAAAAAACCTATATTTTTGTGTTTTTCTCTGGATTAAATCTCATTATTTTTTTTTTCATGAAAAAGACCTTATGTTTTTTAATTTTTTCCGAAAAACCCTCAACTTTGTCTTATTAAAGGGTTAATATAAAAAAAACCCTTATATTTTGTGCTTTTTCCGGAGTAAATATCAAATTTATTTTTTGCCTGAAAAAGACCTTGTATTTTTTCATTTTTCCGAAAAAGCCCTCAACTTTGTATTTTTTTTCCGAAAAAACCTTCAACCTTCTAATTGCTTCCAAATAAACCGTCAACCTTTTTAGTTATTCTCGAAAAAACCCTCACATTTTACATTTTTTTTGGAAAACAAATGACTAAAAGGGCTGGATTGGAAAAAATGAAAAAACTACAAGGTCTTTTTAAGGCAAAAAATAAATTTGAGGTTTAATCCGGAAAAAAACACAAAATATAAGTTCTTTTTTGAGATTAACCATTTTTTCCGAAAAAACCCCTCAACCTTCTAAATGTTTCCAAATAAATCCTCAACTTTTTTAGTTTTTACTGAAAAAACCCTCACATTTTACCAAATTTTTTAGAGAAAAATGACTAAAAGAGCCAGATCGGGAAAAATGAAAAAATGCAAGGTCTTTTTCATGAAAAAAAATAAAGTTGAGGCTTAATCCGTAAAAAAAACACAAAATATAAGGTCTTTTATGAGATTAACCCATTTGTTTATTATAACATCTTACTTTATTTCTTTGTATTACAACATTTAAGTTGAAGAATCTACCCAATTATTAGCAATGTCATCAAAATCCAAAACTCTTTTTACTGCTAGAATTGTGTATATTTTTCAAAGTTGAACGATTTAGCTTGAATTCTGTAATAGAAAGAAATGAAAGCAGGATGCTATAAATTATAATAAATTAATTAAAGTACATTGCTATATCTTTAAGATTCTAACTCCTTTTGACAGATCCATGAACCAAACACCAGTTTAATGGAACAACTTGTGTCAAGAGTGAGTAGAATTGAAGATATGTTATTGAGGTTTGAAGAGAACATGTTGAACCCCATAAACCACATTGAAGCAAGACTCCACCATGTAGAACAGCAACTCCAATCACTCACCAAAAATCCCCAAATTCCAGTTTTACCCTCTTCCCCAACATCTGAACCAAAATTAGAAAATACCAACCAACTTCATGCTCACTCTGAATCACAAAACTTGGATCTTATTGTGGAGTCTCAAGATTCTGAAGAAAAACAGCAACTGAATAATGATTTTGAAAAACCAAAGAAATCTGTTTCCATTGATGATGCTTTGGCTGCAGCTCTAGCTGGATTCTCATCTTTTACAAAACCCAATGATGAATTTCCAGTTTTACCCCTCGAATCTCCACAAGAACAGTGTTCGACTTCAATTCCTCCTGATGTATCCACAGAGATCCCCTCTAATAAAACTAATGTTCACCAAGACTCCATTGAAGCAGACAACATTTTGACTTTTGACAAAATCGATGATCAGTCTCCAGATGTTAAAGATGAGTCTGAATCGGTCAACATTTTGACTTTTGACAAAAAGCAAAACTCCATTGAAGCGGTCAACAACATTTTGACTTTTGACAAAAATGATGATCAGTGTCCAGATGTTAAAGATGAGTCTGAATCGGTCAACATTTTGACTTTTGACAAAAAGCAAAACTCCATTGAAGCGGTCAACAACATTTTGACTTTTGACAAAAACGAAATTCTGAAACATTTCCCGGATGGGTCTCCAGATGTTAAAGATGGGTTTGAATGTGATTTTGAGACTTGTGTTCTTGAGGTGAAGTTTGCTTCAATGGAGAATGGGAATCTCAAATCCCATCTTGAAGACTTTTTGTCTTACACTGATGAGAATCCTGCTATGATTGATGAAGGCTTATTGATAGAGGAAACAACTGGAAATGGAAACAGTTTATTGCTGGATTTAGATGGTGATGACGTGGCGGAAGGTGTGCTACAAGATCTTCCGAATGTTCATGTGGAAGCATCTTTCGATAGTCTCATTTGATGTTTTTTTTTTGGGTGAGTAATGTTTTGCATTGTATATATATATAATAACTCTTATATTTAATATAATTTGTGCGATAAAACTGTCTGAATCTTTAAAGAAGTGATGGCAAATTTGTAAAATTAGGACTTGAAAAAAATGAATATTTTAGGTATATTATTCTATTTTGATATTGTTATAGATGTTAAAAGACCACTTATTTTTATTACTTTTTTTTTTTCAAACTTGAAGTAAGTGGTGTTTTAATATGTTAAAAAAAGTACTATATCTTTAAATAAGTTTGAAACATAAAAATTAAATTAAATATACAAAAACGAGTTAATATCAATTTAATTTTTAATAAGAATCAAAATTAACAATATTAATTATAGACTATTATTATACAATTAATGAACTAAAAATTAATAAGCTCAAATTTGGAAACTAATTCGCTTTAATGAAACTCAAACTCTATATTTTGGTGTTATACACTTATATATCACACTAGGTTATAACCCGTAGAAACCACGTTCAGTATATTTAAAATTTTATATAGATAAAAAAATAGTAAATGCAAAAAAAAATCAAGATATTATTGATTGTAAGTAATTATGAATTAATTTGTTATGCAAAATAAACATAATAATGTTATTAGGATATGATTTTATATTTTCAAAATTTAAATTGAATTTGATTTGTTACCAAAAAAAGGAAATAATAAAAATCATAGAAAAATGCCATGTGTCAAAGAAACATTCTAAAAAAACTGACACGTGTCATTTTTAGGTTTCATTTATCAGAAGAGATAGATTTGATGTTGGATTAGTGTGAGGATGTAAAAGTAAAACAACAGCCTGAAAAGCCCGTAGTTTCTTACTGACTTTGTCTAAAAATAGGTAAGTTATATATATATATATATATATATATATATATATATATATATATACACACACACACACACACACTAGGTTATAGCCCGTGGGAACCACAGTTACAAAAATAAATAAATTTTTATAGTAAAAACTCATAATTATTAATCAATTATTTTCAGTAAATTATACAAAAAAACCATAATATTTTTAAAAAATGGACCATATTTATTTTTAAATACTAATGGATGTCATTCTGTAGATAATATAGGGGTTACATGTACAATTAATAAATTATAAGACACTTAGTAAATAGAAATAAGTTACACGATGAAAAATTAAAATTTGTTAGACTAAATATAAGTTGCACAAGAAAATTGATAGCAGAATCAGTGTAAAGTGTTGCAAATAAACAACGTAATATTCTAACTTTTTCAGATTTGATGAATACTATTATTGAAAAGTCTATTCCAAATCAATATTGAGTTTACATTCCTGGTAATCCAATGTTGTATTTCAACTATTAAATTACATATCAAAATCTTCATTCTTGGCCACCATTTGATGCTTCTTCCTCCATTGGATATTTTCTCACCTTCTCCTTTTCCGCTTGCTTTCCTGAAACAAAAAAATATTCAAAACAAAAAATTAATAAATAATGCTTAAAACAAATTTGAAACTTTATATAAGAAGTTGTTTTTACGTTACCTTTATTATTTTTCGTCTTCACAAATAAATCTAACCATGCTTTGATTTCTGGGTAATCAACCGTTTTAGTTGGTTACAACTCTTAAAAGTGTATGAGAGGTTATTCAATCGGATCCATTTGACATCAAAACAATCATTAATTTTATACGCACCGCAAAATAACTGCACCATGGATAACAATTGAACTCTTGTCCCACCAAAAAAAGACATAAATGCCCTTATAATTGGGTTATTTATGGGGTAAAGTTTGATGAGTTGATTTACCAGGATTTTCATGAAGAATAGGGTATGGATGTAAAAGGTCATGACAATTAGTAACCAAAGATGGTATGGAATGGAATATTGAATTCCAATTCCTTTGGAAGCAAAAAAATAAAAAAATAAAAAAATAAAAAAAAGAAAGAAAGAAAACCTTTGCCATCTACTGTGCCTGTGACTATATCAATTGCATAAACATCATTCTCCTCGATCTCTGCATCATCCAATCTTATTCCGGGATTTGAAACACTTACTACTACTTTTTCCCCATCTATCCAACTCATTATCTATGTCCTCTCCAATCCATATACTTGTCAATTTAAACATACTTTTACAAAGAAATAAACAAATAGTACTCAAGTATTAGAATTGTATAAAAGTAACATATTCATTAAAAGAAAAGAAAGATTGAAACTACCTTCATCAATAGCTTCAACATCATCAACTTGGAGACCAAAAAACATAATGTTACCTAATGGTGTCATCCAACCTGACATACAAATGTCAACTGGATTAATATCCATCATTTGTACCCAACCAAAATGATGAAACATGATTAGTCTAAGTGTATCTTAAAACATATGTTACAAAGAAAACAAATGCCCGCTAGACATAATGAGCATTTTTATAGAAAATGAAAAAAGAGGGTCAGATCGATCTAACCTCCAAATTTTAAGGAATTGTCCCATCAATCTTCTATTCCACTTAACCAAACCATGTTCATCTTTTGGTGATAATCAAGGAACATTATCAAATTATGTAGCTTCAGAATCCTAATAAAATCAAAACAGATACTGTTAGTTAGGAACATTGATAATGATATAAATATGAATATTACTATATATGGTGATGAAGAAGAAAAACAAAAAATTTGGTCAACATGAACATAAAATGATTTAAAGGTTAGATGTTTTACCTTCCCAGAATGCACTTTTCAACATTCAACATACCTTTTGATTCAAAAAATGTCCTTTTTACCATGACATATGTGACCTGGCACAAAATATTTTTGGTCATCAAAATCTTTCGAAATATTTTTCCAATTAAAGCATTGTACTTTAAGTTATAGGGGTTGACATTTTCATAAATAAACACAAAGAAGTTTAAATAAAAGTTATTTCTTATCTGGATGAATCAGATCTCCATGTACTTCCTAATCGAAGTCTTGAAGGATTGATTGATTATACCTACTGCCTTTCTTGATCTACATTTAAGACATTTAACTCCTAAAAGGTAAATTCTTGTATTACCCTTCTCATTAACAACTATATGTCTATAAAATAGCTTTGCAAATCCAATGACCTCTTCTTGTTTGATAAAGTAGATGTAGGCTCTTGCATATGATTAGTCACTTCAAATTACAAACAGGCGCAATTAAAATTTAATAATTGCTAAAAATGTACGTAAAAATGGATGCTTTTAAAAAATATATTGAACTTTATGGATGTAAGTCGATTAATTCCATGACGAATACTTAAATCATATTAAATGACAGTTTTCTTATACTAAAGTACCCTAAAATCAAGACTTTATGAGTAATTTACAAATAAATTGACCTTATATTTAGTAAAATCCACCTACCAAATGATGTGACAATAGGTAATTGCATGCAGAAATTGTTTTACCTAGTCTGAATAGCAGAAAATTAGATGAAACAGAGTTATATAATTTTAACAAATAGGATGGGTTGCTAATGAAAAAAGATAAATAATATTGATGCCATCAAATGTTTTACCTTTTGCTTCACAAATCTGGATAAAGAATATGATTAACTGCATCAATTTTGTACATTGACACACCGGATTTTAGTCATTTTTCTTTAGACATGATCTGCATCCGATTTTACACACAGATAACAACCTACAAATTCGATGATTAACTGCAAAATCTAAAAAAAATAATAAATAAATAAATAAACTTAATACCGTAATCAAGTGACACATTCATCTTCAAGAGCATTAATAGAGAGAGAGAGAGAGAGAGTTAAATGGAATCATAAATATTTTTAAGCAATTTACTCGTAATCAACTGTTTAAGCAATAAAACACTTAATACCGTTACATAAAAGCCCCCAGAATCTGATGTATCATTTCACTATTCCAAATCAACATTTCGTCAATAAAACTGGAATTCGATGGTGTCAGTGTTAATTTAAGATGGAGAACAGAGATGAATGTGAGAGAATGGGAAAACGATGGTATTAGACGATATTCAATTGATGATTTTTGAAAAAGAAACCATAAGCAACAATAATAGTGAAAAAAGGGTTATCTTATATTTGGAAAGTAAGATGAAAAAATTGACCCACCACAAATGAAATCGTTTTCTGTAGAAGGCGATGAAGAAAATCGATTTCAGTTGTAAAATTGTAGATACAGAAGCCATAAAGGAATCAAAGAATATATCAAGCCGAGAAGATTTAAAATTGCATAAGATTTGTTCCTAGTTTTATGAGATTTGGATCAACATTGATTTGAATATGCTTTTATGATAAAAGGAAACCGAATGGGGAGAAAATTAAGCAAATAAACTGGTTAAATTCTTGAACGGGAATAATAGGTATTGGTTTGGGCGGGAATAATTTTCTAAGAATATGGAAAAAAATGACACATGGAATGTTAGCGTTTATAAGAGGGACAAGTGGCACTTTAGAAAAATTTTTATTAGGAAGATATATATATATATATATATATATATATATATATATATATATATATATATATATATATATATATATATATATATATATATAAAGTTATCCACCTTTTAGGAACAATGAACTTCCTAAGAGGTTGGCATAAATGGTCACCCATTTATAGGTGTTGGTGCAATTCCGTCTTGGTTTTTGTAAGGGATATTTTTTGACATTATGTATATTCTTTGTCTATACTTGGTAGCAATCTACCGCGTCTTTATCTTCCCCCACTGTCTCTCTCATCCGGTATCTTCTACTATCTTCTCGATTTTCTTTCCCTCCTCTCAAACGACCAATAGGTATTTGCTTCTTGCATAGAACGTCGAACTAGTTGCATCTGCATGCCACCACCTCTTTCGCTGCCGCATCAAGCAGAACTACTAACCTCCGTCTCTCCTCCTTCAGCGCCGACCGCTTAATTTTTTATCGGCTCAGATTTTCCGGTGGCAGCTTTGAGATTAGATATGTGTCCCGACTTCTTGAAACTTCTTTTTTCTACACCGTCTCTTTTTGGTCCTCTCGATTGATTAAAATTCACTTCCTCGGATTTCCGTCTTCTCCGTTTTCCTCCTCGATTTACCGATAGGGCTCATGTATAGTT